CCCCACCAGTGCCCCCTCCCCCTGTCCCTACACTGCTCCCCCCCGCGCCCCCTCCACGGGGTCGCTTGGGAGCAGGGCCTGGGGCAGAGTCAGGGGCGGAGTCTGAGCTCACATCCTCTCCATCCCCCTCTCCCTCCCCAGGCTCCCCTTCCCCCCCACTCATCGTTGTGGTCTGATCTGACCCAGGCATCGGCCGCCTCACACGCTGGGCCCTGTGGAAACAAGTGGTCGAGGTTAGAAAGCACCAAGGATAAGGGGTTTAGATTTTAAACTTCAGAGAATTAAGAGATCAGGGAAATCTTAATGATGATACCTAATATTTATTACATACTGACTACATGCTAAGCACATTGTTAAGTATTTTGCACTGATTGCCTCAAATTATACAAATCCTACGGACACAGATAACTATATCACCTCTATTTTATGGCTAAGGAAACTGAGGCTTAGAGAGGTTAAATAACTAGTTTGAGACCATAGTCTCTTTGCCTCTCAAAGCGTGGTCCAAGAACCAGTAGCAGTCTTGTAGAGACGCAGAATCTCAGGCCCAACTTGTGACCTACTGAATCAGAATCTGCTTTTTTAACAAGACTCTCAGGTAATTTGGATACACATTAAAGACTGAGTGATGCTGGCCTAGGAGGTGATTTAATTCCCAGCAGTCTGAACTCAGAGCTCATGCTCAAAAAGCACTCTACTGTTCTAACTTCTAGAAAGTTAGATGAGCTATTTCCTTAAGAACAGTAGTACAAGCTACAGTTTACATCCATGACCTCCAGGCGTGACAGTTAGACTGTGATCAGCACTCAGGATGCTGAGGCTTAGAAGCAAAGACAGGCCCAGGAGTCTGACCCACGGATCTGTCCCATCAGCACTGCTGCCACCTTCTTTGTGGCCCCCGAACCTGTGCATGGCCTGCATTCGCAGCCCCTCCTCAATGCTGGAGCTCAGCGCCTGCTGGTTGTGCAGGCGGCTGAGGCGGATGAGCACCCTGTCTTGGTGGGCCTCATATTCCTCCCGGCTGGGGTAGATCTTAGAGATCAGAGCATCGAAGTTGGGATCTGGCCGCAGAGACCGCTTGGATACCAGCTTCTTTCGGCAGGTAGGGCACTCCTTGTTCCTGGTGTGGGAGAAAGGAAGTCCTGAGGAGTCAGCCACCAGGGCATGGAGGGTCCAACTCTTGTCCCCCTCCCCCATCTCAAACCTGTCCCTCCTGTTACCCGCTGCGCAGGGCCGTGACAATGCAATCAGAGCAGAATCGGTGGAGGCACTCCTTGGTTGTCATCGTATTCTTCAGCATGTCCAGGCAGATGGGGCACATGAGCTCTGAATGCAGTGACCGAGGGGAAACTGCAATCTCTGTGCCATCCATAATGGCTTCCTGGAGGCGTTGATGAGTGGAAAGGTGGTGAGTGGGTTGGAGGGAAAGGGGCTTTAGAAACAAGTGGTCCATGAAATCGGAGTCTTGAGAAATACAGTGAGATGTCAGAATCTGGGTACCTCACGTTGGCCACTTGAGGAAACTGGGAATTCTAAGAGTAGGAGCTTTGGAATAGGAGGATCTGAGGTTTGGTGATAGGCCTGGGGATGGGTGTGGCACAGATTTTCCATCTGTGGAAGACTTACTTGGTCAACAGAATTTCTTACAGTGCAGTCTTGGTACTACCTATATCAGAATCCCCTAGGATGCAGGTTAAAAATGCAGATTCTGGGGCTTCCCTGGTGGCGCAGTGGTTGAGAGTCAGCCTGCCGATGCAGGGGACACGGGTTCGTGCCTCGGTCCAGGAGGATCCCACATGCCACGGAGCGGCTGGGCCCGTGAGCCATGGCCGCTGGGCCTGCGCGTCTGGAGCCTGTGCTCCGCAATGGGAGAGGCCACAACAGTGAGAGGCCCGCGTACCGCAAAAAAAA